CCCAAGTCCTCATTCTGTAGTGATTCCTATTTCAGTAAGCAGCACCACCATCTTCCCAGTGGTTCAAGCCAGAAACGAGTCTTGCTTGCCTTCTCCATCACATTGCACATTTTGCCAAATCCTGTTGATTCTACTTCCACCTTTGAGCTTTAAAATTTATTTCTCTTCATCCTCACTGTGACTTCTAGACCAGATTGTCATCTCTCACCTAGATTCATTAATCAGTTCCATAATTGGCTCGCTGCCTCCAGTCTTATTTTTCTTCAATTCATTTTCCACATGGCAGCCTGAGAAAATTTGCTGATACGCAAATGTGGTCATGCCACTCTGAAACTTAACCTCCTTAAATGGCTCTCCATTGCGTGTGGGATTGAGCCCATACGCCTTACCATGGCTGATCGGTACTTTTTTAAAATAATAACTTTTAGAAACAGGTCCTGCCTGTTTCGCTAGGTTCTCCAGCCTCATTTCTTGACACCCCACACACTGCTGAAAAGCCCTAGTTGTCTTCTCAGTTTTGCCAGGAAGCCATTGTTCTGGAGTCCATATCCACGTTTCTTGTTATCTCTGCCTGTGCCATTCTTCCCATGATCACACCACAGGGTCTATCTAGCACAGTGCCTGGCATAACCAACATTTCAAAAGATGTATGCAGAGCTGGTTATATATTAATTGAGAAGCAGTAAAGTTAAGTCTGTAGGCCAGTTTCTAAAGTCTAGAGTAATTCAAAACAATGGTCAAATTCCTGCTCAACCACTTTAAACCTTAGTTTCCTCATCTTTGGAATGAGGACATAGTAGAGACCTCATAGTATCTACTGTGAGGATTAAAGAAGGTAACGTAAGTAAAATATTTAGTACAATGTCTGACATATAAATGTTTAATAAATCTAATCCAGCAGCAGTGACAACAGTGACCAGGATACATGCCTCTGGATGGGTGTCCCATGCCAGCCTATGAGAGAGTGTGTAGCTGCTCTGTAAGTCTGGCCAGTTGCCATTAGCAATGAAAAAAGAACACCTCTGATTGCCTGCAATAAGATATGCAAAAATGTTTTATTTCTTTGGTTACTCATAATGTACCTATTATTCGACATTCATGGGATTTATATATTTTGGCTTTCTTTTAAAAAAATGCTTCAGTGCCATTTTCACACACATAACCTTTTTCTTCTTCCTAAAAGTTTCCTTCAGAAAATTCCCAGTAGTAGTATTGTGGGTAACAGATTCACATTTTCATCACTTTTGATGCGTCTTGGCAGGTTGCTTTCTATACAGTACATACTATTTATTTTAATTTTAGAATTCCTATCTACAACCTGATTCTTCTATGTATTTTTCATTAAAAATGAAAAACAGAATTATTCTTTTCTGTGTATTCTTTATGTACTTGGCACGGTGATAACTCTGGCCAGTAACTTGTTTCTAGACGACTACTGCTACTTATCATCCTTTCTCACAGTGATATTAGAGACTCACTGAGGTGATATGTGAAATGTGTGCAATCAAATGTACTGTATGACTAAATATAAGATATTCTTTTCATAGTCAGGAATTGGTGTGTTTTCTTCACCAAATACTAGAAGGCAAGTCACAGAGAGCACTGATTTCTGCAAAGTGCAGTTACTTAAGACAGCAGCAAAATCAAAGAATACCACTTTTATAGTATAGTAATATTACAAGAGTATATATACCAGCTATCTCAAGGAGACAGTGTTTAACTTTGAACTTTAGTTAGGGCTGCATTTGATAGCATGTCACAGAGAGGACTAGAGGACTAGAGGTAGGCAGCCTGGGACTGATGTGGCAGCTCCATGAAGTCAATGTTGTCCCGGGTTCCTAATCTTGGCTCTGGCATACTTCATACCACATGGACTTATTCTCATTGTCAGCTCATGGTTACAAGAAGGCTGATCCCAAACTTAAGTCTTCCTTCCAGGCAGAAAGAAAGAAAACAGTACAAATGGCAAAAGGCAAAGGGATAGCCAAGCTTCTCCTTCAGCTTTCTTCGAAGCCATCCATCTCATTGGCCAAAGTGATCTTATGGCTGGTACCCCATCTGCAAGAGGAGCCTGGGAGGAAACAGTTTTAACTCGGCACATCGCCACCCTGAGCAAATGTGGGTCTGTCAAACAGGGTAGGGTGGATATTGACTAGGCAACTTGCAGTATCTGCCATCGATGTAAGATGTATGTAATTTTTCATTAGTAACATGAAAAATACAATGTTATTTCCCTTAAACCCAAACTAAACTTACTGAATACTATGTCCTTAAACTTCTACCTCGTAGGAAACCAAACTAAACCAGAGGAAACAAATGTAACTGGCTTCTCAAACCTGTTATTCCTCTTGTTCTTTGGGTACATTTTTTAGTGCATAGTATCACCCAGGAATTTGAAATCTGCAGACAAATAAAACCCCTGCTAATACTGCTTTTAATCCCCAAAGCATATCTATGACATTTTATATACCAGAGGAAGAAATAAAGCATTCTAGGGTATGGAGGCTCTTTTCTTCTTCTAGTGCAAGTAAAAAGGATTGCCTTCTCATTTCTCCATTGCTACGGCTGACATCATTAGCTAATTAGTTAGCTAATTGACTAATAGTTCAGATCTAGTTAGAAGTACCTGGGCTGCCTCAGTCATTAAAACCTTCTCACTGTGATTTTATGAATTTAAAACATATGCTGTATATACTGGATCCTAGTTCTACCCATTTAAGTCTAATGGAGGGTCAAAGGTGGTGATGAATCTTTTCTAAGGAAATGTGTTTCTTCCATTCACTAAATAAATTTTCATAAAACTTCTAACTGCTCCGGAACCTAAAAAAAAAACCCCACAAAAAACTTAAAGAGCAATTACCCTTAAATGATGTGAAAAGTGCCCTCACTTTTGCTCAGTGGTTAGAGTGTTGGCCCACAAATCAAAGGGGTTCAATTCCTGGTCAAGGGCTCCATTGCAGGTTCAATCCCTGCCCAGGTCAGGGCACATGCGGGAGGCAACCAATCAATGTGTCGCTCTCACTTGGAGGTTTTCTCTCTCTCTCTCTCTCTCTCTCTCTCTCTCTTTCTCCTCCTTCCCTCCTACTCTCTCTAAAAGTCAATAGAAAAAAATATCCTCGGGTGAGGATTAAAAAAAAAAGTGGTTTTTTTTGGTTTTTCAAAAACTAACAGATTATACAATTTTGCTTAATATATATCAAAGGAAGTCTTACAAGTTTTCTTTCTTAGGGTTTAATTCTCTCTTCGTGTCCAAGAAAATAATACTAAAATAAGAAATCTTTTCAACATGAAGACACTGGGTATTTGGTATGTTTTAGGACTTTGAAAGTAAAATTCAATCATATGGCGTGCGATTTTGTGCCCATGAAAGGTGGTATAATATACTGGTTAAGGGAGTATGCGCTTGAGCCAAACTGCCAGGTTATTAGCTATGTGACTATGGGCAAATTGCTTAGTTTCTCTGTGTGCCTCAATCTCCTCTTAGGTAAACTGGGGATAACATTAATAAGTACCTCGAAGGATGGTTATAAGGATTAAATGAATTAATTTCCACAAAGAAGTTAATAAAGTGCTTGGTAATGTGTTAGCAATCAGAAACAGCCATTATTTAGCCATTAGGAATTCCTCTTTCCATTGCAATTTAAGGGCTCTCTTCTGGGTCATTTGTACCAGAGACCTCCAAAATGTAGTGTTGTGGTAAGCTTCTCTTAAGATGGTCCCAATCGCCTTAAAACATATATTAAAAAATGCAAGGAGAACTCTTAACATGTTTCTTTCTACTTGTAACTTAACAAAATAAAGCAAGCATATGAAACATAATCTTTTACTCTGTGAGAAATTGGCATTAATGGGGCCATTTCAAAAAGGAGTCTGGGCAGCCATTCCAGAGGAACTGCATTGCACCTCTAACTCCTTGCACCTTTGGAATGTTTGAACTGGGCCTAAAGCAACATTGTATCCCAAACAACTGTTTGCCAAGGAAACAGACCTCCTGACTACGAGGACTGATAAAGACATTTTTCAGAATCAGTAAACAGCCATGTATAGCTAAAGAATAACTTAGCTTATTAGCACAACTAGAAATTCCTTCTTTCTATTCATGTAATTATTTATCTTCCTTTTCTCACAAAAACCCTTTGCCTTCTTCACCCCGTAATTGAAACACTATTTGGGTTTCTGCCTGAGTCAGTGCTTCTGGAATAGCTATTCTTTGATTTCAAATAAAAGCTTGTTGCCTCTCACTTCAGTTTTTTTGTTTGTTGTTGTTGTTTTTTTAACTTTTAAGTTTAAGAACTTTCTGCAAAACTTTTCAGACAAAAGGTTCAAAACCTATTTCAAAATATTTTGGTCGTGATTTACAGCACGTATCAATCCGATAAAGACATTTTTTTTAGTTCTTTGTCCACTAAGAGCTCATGGATTCTGAGTATGGGTAAACACACAAGCAAGATTTAATGTATCTCAGACAAAGAGGGAAGTAAATGGTTTTTCTTAAACATGTAAAGCCGCATCCTGTAACATGTGAGATTAATTCTTCTAAGTAACTCGAGGCAGAAAGGCCTATTGGATTTTTTTTTAAAAAAATATCTGAGTCAAATAAACCTCTATCAACAAGTATTGTTTGAGGTAAATTCGTAAAAGGTTGGTATTGTGATTGCTAAATATTTCTTAGGAATGAAAGGAACAATTTCAAGTTACTGGATGAGCTGAGTTTATTTTCCAGAGTTTATGCACTATGAAAGGAAGCCTTAAAATCCTTACATACAACACTCTTCGTCAATACATTTATTAAACACATTTAAACCCATGACATGCATTACTTCTAAGAAATCCACTCAGTGGTTCTCAACCTTCCTAATGCCGCGACCCTTTAATACAGTTCCTCATGCTGTGGTGGCCCCCAATTTCATTATTACAAATTGAACATAATTAAAGCAGAGTGATTAATCACAAAAACAATATGTAATTATATGTGTTTTCCGATGGTCTTAGGCGACCCCTGTGAAAGAGTCGTTGGACCCCCAAAGGGGTCGCGACCCACAGGTTGAGAACCGCTGCTTTAAATACTTCAGAGTGAATCTTTTCATCTGCGGGGGGTGTCATTAGCAAAGGACCTCGGGCGCTGGGCTGGCGAGGAGCCTCGGAGAGACAGGGGAGGGCAGGAAGGTGGAGCCGGCGTCCTCGCGGGTCTGGGTTCGTGCGCGTGGACTACATCGTGGAAGAGGAAAGGTGGACACGGGCATTTGGTGGGTCCTTGTTTGCTCAAGATGGAAGTCGGGGCTGGCGGGCTCGTCCCCACGGTGAATGGAGCGCTCCGCGTCCCTCCCGGTGCCTCCTCCCGGGGCGCAGGGGCTCAGGAAGGAGGTGGCGGGGCGAAGGCCGCGTCCCTGACCCGAGGCCGGGATGG